GCGCGCGGGCGGAACGAGATGCGGGGAGGGTGTGTGTCGAGGGTCCAGGGCAGGATTGGGGGGGTGTAGGACTGAGGCCGTGAGGGAAGCGGGGGAGAAGAGGATTCGGGGTTTCCGGGGGTGGTGGTGTGGATAGGGGTGGAGGGGAGGAGGGGGAATGTAAGGAAACTGCTAAATGGATGGAGGGGCGGAGGAAGGGAGGGAAGGAGAAGGCGGAGGTGTTGAGGGAGAGGGAGAGGGTTGGATGGGGTGGAGGGGGGACGATGGGTGGAGGAGGGGATGGGAGCTTAGCGGATCGTTTGTTTTCGAATAGGCTTGCCTACAGGAGCCCTAGCTCCAAGCGTAGGGAATGGGTTGATTAGTTTTTCCTATGTTGCCTCTGCATCGTCAGAACTATCAGCATGGCTTCCTCTGTATCCTCATGGCCTCATCTGCTATTCCAGCTGTCCGCATGGCTTCCTCTGTATCTGCATGGCCAACTATCCGCATGTCTTCCCCTGTATCCGCATTGCTTCCTTTGCGATTTCAAAGGGTAAAGGTCAAGCAGACGGGGGTGGAGTAGGGAAGAGGATTGTATATGATAGTAGAGTAGAGTGGGAACATATCAGAGTAGACGAGAGTAGGGTAGGGTAGATTAGGCAATGATGGGGTATGGTAGAAGAGTAGGGTAGAGTAGACCTGAGTACTGTTTAGAGTAGTGTAGAGTAGCGTATAGAGGAGAGTAGAGTCGCGTGTAGCATAGTAGAGTAGAGAGGGGTAGAGTAGAGTAGCGTCGAGTAGGATGTGTTATAGTAGTGCAAAGCAGATTAGTATAGTGTAGTGTAGAGTAAGCTACAGTAGAGAAGGGTAGAGTCAAGTATAATAGAGTCGGGTTGGTTAGAGCGTAGTGAACAGTAGAGTCCCGAGTAGAGTCCAGAGTAGAGTCCAGAGTTGAGTCCAGAGTTGAGAAGAGTAGAGTGGAGTAGATTAGAGTCCAGAGGTAGAGTCAAAAGTAGAGTAGAGTATACTCCTCCACGGAGAGCGTTAACTCCAAATCTACTACTACTAGGCAACGTATTGGCACGCAGACCCGCGCCAGCCATAACCGACCAGCACCCAGACCGGGGGAACTTCTATGGTTCCCCTATGAGGGTTCCAAACGTACGAAATCCAGCTAAAAAACTTGAGGAATCCGATTCGCGAGCTGACAGAATGCTTATTCAGCAGCGCCTTCGGCGACGCCCTGTCTGGGTGCTGGTCCATGAGGGCCCGGTCTGGGTGCTGTCCCTTGGAGGGGGCCCAAGCTCAGTGGCAACTGTACGCGTGCTGGAGTACGACTGGTGTACACGTGCTATTCGCACTAGTGTACACCAGATGTGTTTGTATTAGTGTACCACGGTATGCGCTTGGGGGCAGCAGTTGCATTTTATTTGTGTACCAGGGATGTACTTGTGCTAGAATACGAGATTGAGAGTTTTACTGGGGTGCGAGAGTTTTGTTTGTACAAGTGTACGATCGGTGTATTTGTACTAGGGTACCGTGGGACGTACATGTAAGAGAGCACAAATTGAGAGTTGTGCTAGAGTGCGAGTTGTCCTTGTACAAGAGTGCGGGAATTAGGCATGTACTATTGCATGAGAGTTGTATTTGCATTACTGTATGGGAGTTGTACTTGTACTACTGTGCAAGAGTCGTCCTTGTAGTACTTCACTCATAGCGTGGGTTGTACAGTTCTCACGGAAGCGCCGTCGTGCGGGCCTACGTGGCCTCATCGACAATTAAGGTCTCCCGATCGCTGACACTACGGCCCCCCATGCTGCCGTTCTTGACCATAGGGTCCCAGTTTTTATGGCGCAGCCTGTCGATGAACTGGCTTGCAAGGTCTTTCTAGACAGGTGCGCTGTTCAACTGCCGCACCTCCAACGGATTGTCTCGTTCGATGACTTCTCGAAGTTGCTCTTTGGCTTCACCGACGTAGCCCCTGGGCCTGATGGCGTACCCTGCGGCGCTTGGCGGCATGCGCCCGAATGGTGCCAACATGTTTTGTATTCCGCCCTGCTCGTGTGGCCAGCCTGCGCGCCACTGCCTCGCGATGCCAATCATGCGTGGTCTGCTTTGCTCGCCAAAGGTTACGAGTTGACCTCGGGCCCCGCCTGTTTCCTGCCGGTGCCCACACTCGCCCCCTGTCTTTGGGTAGCTCCGATGCCAAGATACTTGCTGCTTCAAGTAATCAGAGCTGAGCAGATGGGCCTCTAACCCGCTGCGGGGGTTTATCAAAGGCCGGCACATGTGCGACAACGTCATCGAGGTGGAGACCTAGGTGTCCACCGCAGCTTGATTCGCAGGAGCCCGGCCAGCCGACAATCTGACCCGGCAGTCCCTGCCAAGATTGTTTGCTGAACGACTTCGGTGCCGCTTTCCCGAGTTTCTCGTTGACATTCCTGTGGGTGACCTTGGAAGCAATCGGAGTTCTGGTGCCCGTCATCGCGGCCTTGCAGCAGCTATATCGTGGGAGTGGACATTACTGGCGGTTCGGTGGGAAGACAGCCGACATTTTTGGCATTATGTCTGGGGTAAGGCAGCCCCCTGAGCCTAACGCTGTTCGTAATAGCGATTCACGCATTTTTCGAGTTCTATTTCATAACTTGGGTGACTCGTGCCTGGTGCGAGGTTTTGTTGACGACGTCGCCATCACACTGTGGAGGCTGTGGATTGACGTGGCCAGTCACAGCATTTCTAGTCAACGAGTTCGCACGCATATCGAATATCAAGAGCAAGCTTCGGAAGTGTGTGAGCATGTCCATTTGGCCAATTTCATTGGAACGCGTCGCGCGACTTCTCAAATCAGATTTGTTTTGGGGGACGAATTCATGTGGGATTCTTCTGGCAAGCACCTCAGTTTCTTCCTCTGTCCGGGAGCGGGCTCGCTATCCTTCTTGGCACCTATGCGCAAGTATTCGGGCAGACTGCAGTACAGCAAGGATCTTGTTATTCGGCTTGCCAGTCACCGAGTTGCCGTGCATTTCCATCGCCATCAGCGCGCTAGGATTCCTCATGCAGCTGGTGGAACCATCCGCTGAACTCGTGAAGACCGAGCGCGCGATACCTCGCAAACATGTCGCTGGGACAGGGAACTGGTGCCCCCCCCCCCCGAAAGTCGAATTCAATTTCGTCCGGCTAGGACTGCCAGGGCCGTTTCGTTCCATAACAGCTTTGTACATCGCATCTGCTGGTAGAACCTTGTCCACAGCATGCCCCTGTCGGCGAGCCAGCTTCAGCGTGCTCCAACGCGTTGGTTTGGGCGACCGCGCCCCGCTGTTGCGGAGGCAGCAATCGTGGTTTGACCGTTTGGCAGCGTGTGTCTTGGACGGTGCACAGACCAGGCTCAATGCAATGGGTCTTCTTTGAGCAGGACTTGTTGTGAGATTAGGGTCGACCACGCAGCCGTCTACACACAATTGCACGGTCGCTTGTTTTCGGCGTGCCCTGTTCAAGCCATCCAGAGACGATTGAAAATGTGGAGCCACCTCTCGGGGCCGTCACAACTGCGCGCCTGCGCGGAGTGTTTCGTTGACAATCTGCTCACCTTGCGGTGCTGGGTCCCCCTTGCGTCCTCCGTGCCTGCGACCGTATTTTTTTGATGGCTGGAGGGCCGCCCAGCGCCTTAAAGAGGAAGAGCTGTTCGTTTGCTGTCAGGCCTCAGGTTCCGACTCGATCGAGCGTTCTTGGCGGCGGGCTGTTGCGATTTGCATTCAGATTTGTCACGTTGGTCGTTCGTTTTTTGTTTTTTGTTTTTTCTCCCAGCCATCCTGTGGCATTGGGTTTTCGTTCGGAAGAGAGGCGCCCCGCGTCGCCTCGCTTCAGCTCCCCCCCCCGTTGCCCCTCCCTCTTCCCTTCCTGGCTTCAGCGTCGCTGCCGCCGCCATCGCCCACGTGTCGGCTCGCCCCTCGCGCGGTTTCGTGGCCCCGCAGAGAACTCCGCAGAAGCCCGCGTTGGCCCGGCTCGCATGGCGCGCCGCCGCGCCCATTTCGGCGCGCCCCGCGCGCGTTTCGCGCCCCCGTGGGGAGCTCTACCGAAGGCCCCAGTGGGAAGGGGCGCGCGGCGCCACCGCGCCCATCTGCGCGCGCCCCTCCGACGCATCGTTGCCCCGTCGGGAGCTCCACCGAAGGCCCCAGTGGGAGGGTTCGCACGGCGCCGCCGCGCCGTAGTCGGCGCACCCCTCGCACGCTTCGTGGCCCCATAGGGAGCCCCACCGAGTGCCCCAGTGGGGGTTTCGCATGGCGCCACCGCGCCGACGTCAGCACGCCCCCCGCATGTTTCGTGGCCCCATGCGGGGAGTTCCACCGAATGCTCCAGTGGGATGGTTCGCGTGGCGCCGCCGTGCCCGCGTTGGCGCGCCCGTGCCCATGGCGCGTTTCGTCGCGCGGTTCGTGGCCCCGTATGGAGCTCCATCGAAGGCCCCAGTGGGAGGGTTCGCATGGCGCCGCCGCACCCGTCTCGGCACACGCTCGCGCGTTTCGTGGCCCCGTAGGGAACTCCGCCGAAGGCCCCAGTGGGAGGGTTTGCATGGCGCCGCAGCTCGGCGCGCTCCTCACACGTTTCGCGGTCCATAGGGGGCGCCACCGAAGGCCCCAGTGGCTGGGTTCGCATGGCGCCGCCGCGTCCGTTTCGGCACGCCCATCAGACGTCTCGTGGCCCCATGCGGAGTTCTATTGAAGGTCCCAGTGGGAGTGTTCGCATGGCGCTACAGCGCCCAGTTCACCGCTTGCGCGCTTTGTTGCCCCATGGGGAGTTCTACCGAAGGCCCCGGTGTGACGGTTCGCATGGCGCCGCCGCGCCCGCCTCGGCATGCCCCTTGCACGTTTCGTGGCCCCATGTGGAGCTCCGCCGAAGGCCCCAGTGGGAGGGTTTGCATGGCGCAGCCGCATCCATTTTGGCGCGCCCCTCATGCGCTTCGCGGCCCCATAAGGGGCTCCACCGAAGGCCCCCGCGGGAGGGTTTGCGTGGCCTTGCCGCGCCGA